AACAAACACACCGCAAACTGCGTGGGCGCAGGGCTTGAAACGCACACGAATCAAGTGGGGCAATGCGACACAACACTTGACACACAGAACCTACGTGTCGGCATGGTTGGCAATCGAACTGACGTAGGACAGAGAAGGGACACAAAGACAAGACAGGGACAAAAAAAAACAACACAATATGGAAACGCAAGGACAGAAGGAGTGAGGCAGACCGTGAGAGACAGAGTGCTGCGAGCAGACAAAGAGGACTCCTCCCACCCCCAACGCGCCGACCCGCTGGGGTGTTCTCGGCGCACCTTCCTTGGGAGCCCGATCCAGCTGTTTTGGAGGGGTTGGTCCTGCTCAACGGCCCCGGCGGACCCACCTGGCCCCGAAGAACTCCGAAGCCCGCACGAGTCGCGCAAGAAACCCTCCCGACCGTCCGTAAGTGCTCCCGGACGGCCCAAAAACTGCCCAAGAGGCTCCCAAGACGACTAAGAGAGCCTCCGGATGACCTCCAAGAGTGTCAGGAGTTCCAAGATGGCGTCAACAGGCAACACACAATGATTTCCCAGGGTTCTCCTACTCATTTGACGACTTCGCCCTTTCGATCTTCAGGGCGGTCAAAACACAACATAAAACATCGAAAGGCTGTCAAGATGGCCCCCAAAACGCACAACAGTACCCCGAGATGGTTCCAAAGGCCGTCCAGCAATCCCCAGAGACCCTGCGAACGCCGTAGGAGGAGCTCAAGCTGTCCAGAAGTTGCTCTGGCACGGCTCAAGAGACGTCCAAAAAGTCCCCACGCAATCCTAAAGACTCCAAGACGCCCAAGGGAGCATGAGGACCTCCGGGAGCCTCAAGAGGATTTCCATGAGGACGCCAACGGGTAAAACACAATGAAATTGTTTAAGGGGCCCTGGGACACACAAATGAATAGACACAAATCCCAGGATTCCACATATTTGTCCCTTATGTTCTGGGTTTTCGGCTTTCCCCCCACTTCCCATATTTTTTTCGCAGGAGTCGACGATTCTTTTTGTCTGTGTGTTTTTTCCTCCTGAGTTTAATGGTGTTCCGACGCACTGGACGCACTCGCCCTTTCGATCTCCAAGGGGCTGGAAACAATCCGAGAGACGTCCCAAGTCGCCCCCAAGGCGGCCCACAAGGTGGCCAAAGGCCCCAAACCAGCCACACACTGCCCCCGGATGGCCCAGACGGCCCTCCGGACTGGATCTCGAGGCGGACGATCAGGCCTGCCGAGCCGGATCACTTTTCTCCTCCGCGCCTGGTCCGTACAGCCCCCCCACTCGCCGGGCGTGCGCCGCGCGCGCCCCGGAGGCCTGGCAGCGGTTTGGCCCGCGACCCCCGTGGGTGCCCACGACGGATCGCGGCAGCTGCGCCGGCCCTCTGGCTCAGGAGCATGCTCCGCAGAAGGCAAGAGGGCCTTTTCAGACCCAGGCAGTTTCACCTGCCCCCTGCGCCGCCTTCTCCAACGGCTCTGGGCCGGAAATGCGTGCACGTGCGTCCCGACTTGCGTGGAGTCCAGATCTCCGATTAGCCTCGCAACGCCGATCCCCTGCATGCTAGTAAACTTGCCAAAGTCTAAAGAAATGGCGCCTCCGACCTCTGCACCGCCACCGTGCCTGGCCAAAGGGAATAACCCCCCAAAAAACTACTTGCCGCGTTTCTGGCCTCCGGGGGCCCTCGCTGGGCCCCGTCGAAAAACGGCTCGGGACGGCCCCGGGAGGAGAGGGTCGGGATTTCTGGGCATCCCAGATCGAAAAATCAGAAATTACGGCGTCGAGAAACGGCTCGGGACATGAAAAGACGGCCCTGGGGAAAGAGGGTCGGGATTTCTGGGCAGTCCCTATTGAAAACTCGGGGCTTTACAGTCAACCTGTATAATAAGGACGCACGATAAGGATGCAGAGGCCTTGGAAGGCCATGTCGACCCTTTGCGAGCGGGGCGCGGCCCGCGAAAGCGGTCAAGTGCGGGCCGAAAGGGAAGGATGCAAGGGTAGCCCTAGGATGTCGTTCACCCTCACCATGCAGGTTGACTGTATGGCCATCGTGGGACCTGGCTGACTGAGGGCAGGAAGCTCAAAACACCATCCCGGGGCCCAGGACGGCCCTGGCCCTTGGCTGGGCACGGTGGTGGTGCCCAGGCCCCTTCCGCGTGACAAAATGCACGGGCACGAGGAGGAATTCCAGTGTCCCAGGGCTGCCGCGAATGGATGTGTGGGTGTGTCAAATCATGCAGGCATCCGACGATGTGATGTAATGGATCGGCGGCCCCAGAACTCCCGAACTTGCGGAAGGACCATGGCGTCCCCGGTCCTTCTTGACGTCCCTGGCACCCGAAGCCAGCCTCCGGAGGCCTAAGTGGAGGAACTATTGGCGTGACCGATGACCTATGACCTAGAGCCCACATCGTCGGAGGTCAGGTTCATGGGAACGGGCACATCATTGCACTGCGTACCCACGTACTGAGACTGTAACATGGCATGCTGCCACACAAAAGCAGCAGAGAACAGCATTCACACGGGAGGAAGGCGGTCCGATCCTGACAAACCACGCTCGGGACTCCTTGAAACCTGCAGTGCGACCATGAAACTCAACTTCAACATCAGTTGTGTCCCGGCGAGCGACCCCCTCGCAGACCTCCTATCCCATCCCCAGTCCTCTCCCCTCCCCTCCCCTCTCCTCAACTTCGCATTCTCCTCCTCCACCTCTCTCCCTCGCCTCCCCTCCGCTCCTCTCACTCGCCTCCCCTCCCCAACCACCAAGTGATCAAGCTACCACGGCGAACGGGAGACGCATCCGAAGGCAGCCATGTAGAACACTGGCATTCCACGCTGGCTAATCGCACCGCGCACGCTGGCCGTCGTACCCTCGATGGCACAAGCTCCCTGCGGATAGCCGGCTGTCACGCAGACCCTGGGGCGTGTGATGAATTGTTGTATGGAGCTGCGCTGCGAGCAAGGCAAGCCCACTGGTTGTAATACTCTTCAACTGCTCGACTCGCCTTCGGAGTGAAGAGCGCGGAACACTAGACAATGGCTGAAACATGTGAGTGTTCCTGCCGCTTGAACTCCGCTCCAACATGTTCACCAGTGAAGCTTAGCGAGCGTGCGCGGGATGGATTCCTGGAGCGGATGCTGTCAAGCGGGTGGCGTGAACATCGTCTACGTATCGTGTGACCCACAGGCGACACGGTCGTCCCACTCTCGCTTCGCTCTGCACGCAAAATACGCAGATTCTGGACCAGAGTGTGGTTCAAGCTATCGTTGCATGTTCCCGAGGTGGTGATATTTGCGCGTGGTGTTGTGGAACTGATCGAGCGCAGACTTATCCCCTGTGGGTCCTCTTGTGCGCAGCCTCCCCTCTCCTACGCGGGAATGACAGAGGCCACCGCCTCCGCAACAGCCAACAACCTCCGAGAACCACACATGAACTCGGATCATCTCTGCGAGAATATTCGAAACCGACACTCTCCAAAAAAAAAAACAATATTGACATAACTGAAGACAAAATGGTCAATGTCTTTGGACGCCCGAAATGAATACGGAAAAGATGGGTACAATGCCCAACAACACATGTTGTCCCAAACCAACAGCGGCCACTGTCGGGCAGGCTGCCTTCTGTCTCAAATGGACACAGGCTGCGGCAGCGCGGACAGCGAGCCCTGTCCAAAATGAACAGGATCTGCTGTTGGGCATTGTACCCGTTCGTTACGTACCCATCTCGATCGTCCCGATTGTCAGCGCTAACCCTCGGCAATGACGATCGAAATGGGGACGGAGAGGATGGTGACGAAGACCAACAACCAGCAGAAAATGCTGCCCACATTGTACAAGACTCACTATCTGTGTCGCCACGGGACGCCATCCGCTTGGGACAAACGTCGCCTCCCCAACTCGCTGCAACATTTTCTATTGGGCACCGTTAGTGCCTCCGGTCACCTTCTCGGGCGTGCCCCAAATCTGAGCCAACCAAGGCAATGTCGCGAACCTGGGCTGGCCACAAAACAGCTCCCGAACCCGGGTACGCCGCACCCGGGTTTGGCAAGGCAATCGCTGCGCGCCGCAAACACCGCGTGCGCTTGGAGCGCTTACACCTTATAACATGATTCCATTAAACTTACATGTGCCGAATAGATGTTGGTGTTCACCTATTTTCGTAACCTGTTTTACGGCTACTTTGGAATTGTCCAACATACCAGCACTTCTCCATATTCCCTTCATTCTGAGGGTACGGAGGGCTGAGAGGGGAGGTCCGCTTCACGCGGCTCCCAGAAACCCGGGGCCAGGCAGAAGGGATCATGAGGGAAATGGCTGCCTCCCGTTAGCGCCGACCCCCCGTTATGCCCACCCATTGACATTTTGGCCCTAGCTCGGGCCTCAGGCAGCCGCTCGGCCCGCTCCGGCATCCCCGGAACGCTCTCGACGCGACGCAGCTGGTTGAAACCAACCCTACCCCTGAGCGCACGCAAACTTGTGCCAACATGGCGAACACCTGGAGGGACTGGCTGACTCCCGTTATGGCTGACCCCCGCCTGCCTGGACGCCAGAAGTGGGCTCGGAAAAATGGGCATGATGCCCAACCGCGAAGATCTCTCAAAGCAACATCGGTCGCTCTCGGACCGGCACCTCTTTGTCTCGAGTGGACCACGTCCGCGGCGACACCGATAGCTAGACTAAGCAGGAACTGCAGTCGGTCTTCGTCACCATCCTTTCCGTACCCCTGTGAGGGGCAACGATATGGGGGGGACTGGCAAAACGGAGGGCACATCGACCTGGAAACGGCGCTACATCGCCGATAGATCGGCGATAGCCCCCCAATCGGAAATCCGGGCAGGTTGAAGCTATCGGGCCCATTCTGGCGATCAATCAGCGAAGGGGGGTCGATGCATCCCCCCCTTTGCCTGTCCACCCCGATCGTTGCCCCTACCCGTCGACACGCCAAAGAGCCTGGCCACGACCGGGACGCTTCGAGCGCCTCCCAGCAAGCCGCGCCTCCTAAGCGCCTCTGCTCGCCGCCATCAGGGTCTTCGCCTTGACGTACATGGCCTTGCCCTGCACCTGGCAAGGGTGCCCCCACCGGGAGCGCGGGCCCATGGCGGGAGGAGGATGGCCCTTTGGGAGGGAACTTTCATTAGGAGGTCCAAACACATCAAGGACAGGGGCTTCTGTCCAGTCGAAACCACCTAGATGCTTAGGGAGTCCACTACAAGCCGTGGACCTGAGTTAGGCCACGAATTCGTTGATCGACAAGTGCGTTCCACGACTCGCAGAGAATCTACTCGCAAATGGCCCTGGATCCACCGCGGGGGACACACGATCCATGACATAGAGGAAGACATGTTTGTTATCGGACGTTTGCGAGTAGGCACTTTGCGAGCAGTCGAACGCGCTCGGTGAATTGCGTTACGTACTTTACGTACTGGGGTTGGGGGCTATGTTTTGCTTAGAGAGAGGAGGTCGTGCCGGTTGTGGGTGCGAGGAGTGCTGCAAGGGAGGGCGAGGGGAGCGGGAGGGGAGGAGGAGGATGGCTCCAAAAGGGCCTCAGAGCGCAAAATGGACTGCAAGATAATCAGAGATAACCGAACATGGCGCAACGTAGCTTCAGACACACATTAAAGAAACCTCAACACTGCCCCAAAACGGCTTCACGTGACATCCTTGCTTTCCAGAGACCCCCCAAGAAACTGGCTCCCGAACGTCGGGGAAATGTATGTTGTGTGCGTTCTCGCCTGTACGCTTCCGATGGGCCTCGGAGGCCTCAAGATGGCCCCAAGACAGCCCAAGAGAGCCCCAAGAGGGCCCACCGAGAGCCCCAAGTACCCCCCAAAGCGCTCCAACAGCGGCCCAAGAGGGATTCAAAACGCAGATATTGAGCCCCGGGGGGGGACCCTGTCTGTTTGAGCCACGGAGGCCAAGACGGCCCCAAGAGGCCTCCCAGATCGTCGCAAAGAGCTCCAAGAGGGCCCCAAGACACCCCGAAAGAGTCCCAGGAGGTCCCCAAGAGTGCCCCGAGAGCGCCCAAGAGCGCCCCGAAAACGCTCCGAAGGGCCTTTACACGTAATGTTCTAGTCACCGAGGGCGGGGCCTCAATCCGTGAACCTCCTCTTTTAGAACCGTGGAGGCCAACGTTGCCCCGAGAGACTTCTCAGTCCCTCCTCGAAAGCCCGAAGAAAACCCCAAGCCCCCCCCCCAAAAAAACAAAAAAACATGGGAAACCGCAGAGAGCCCCAAGCTCCGCGAACGCTCTAAAGGAGACCCAAGATGGCTCCAAAAGACCTCCGATAAAACACTTCCAGGGCGGTTGTCACACCGCGTGTTTCTACACTTCCCTGATCAAGGCAACTCGCTTGTTGATGTGTTTCTGGATGGGCTGGTGGGGGTACTTCTTGGCGCGCGGGGACGCGAAGAAAGTCGAACGCCGAGCGCGCTGGGGCGGGCCGCGCCGTAGCGAAGGATAAGACAGCGGATAAATACGCCGCCACAGAGCGGAGCAGAGAGAAACGCAGCCAACATGGCGCGGTAAGCGTCGCACACAAGTACGGGAAGCACGCTCGCGGGGATGCCGATGGTGACGCCGGTGAAAAACGGGCGAGAGAACGCCACACTTGCCCAAGACGGCGGTAACCAGGAAGGAAAAGGGCGAAACGGGCCAAAGATTCCCCAAATACCTTGCCGAACACGTAGCACAGGACCCAGCAGGACCATTTTGGTGGAACCTTCCAGGTACAACGCCCGCTTTGGGAGAAAGGACGCTCATCGCGGTGTAGCAAGCATCGCACGCGGGCCTCTAGACGGAGGAGCCGCCAAGGGGTGTATCACGGGCCCGTTCGACTCCAGAAAGGTGGGACCTCTCAGGTAGGACGCCTGCGTTGTGAAGTGAGCACGTCTCTCTGCAAGGCCCCCTTCGCCACCGCGATGTAGCATCGGACACGGGCCTCCTGATGGTATTTCGCGAGCCCGCTCGCGCGCAGATAGGTGGGACCTCTCGAGTAGACTGCCTGTTTGGGGACGCGGACGTGTCTTTTCAGGGCCCCTTGGCCACCGCGACTCGGGTTTTGACATGAAGGGTCCGCCGAGGGGGTCTATCACGAGCCTGTTCGCGCCAAGCATGATGGGACCTCTCCGGTAGATTGCCCCTTTGGGGGAGAGGTTGGGGTGTCTCTCTTGCGGGACGCATGATCGTCGCAAGTTAGCAAGCATCGCACTCGGGCCTCCAAACGGTGGAGCCACCAGTGGGTATATCATAGGCCTGTCCGGACCCAAAGACTGGTCGGATCTCTCAAGTAGAACGCTCGATTTGGGAAGTGGGCATGTCTCTCTTCAGGATTCCTTCACATCACGATGCCGCAACGCACTGGGGCCTCTCAAGGCGAAGCCGCTTGGAGAGGGGGGTGTATATCACAGGCCCGTTCGCGACCAGATTGGGGGGGGCCTCTCAAAAGGAACGCCCGCTTTTCGAAATACGTAGCCAGCATCGCACTGGGGCCTGTAAACGCGGGAGCGGCTAGGTAGGCCTCCAGTGGTGGGACCTCTCAGGCAGAACGCTCGATTTGGGCATGAGGTCCGAAGCCTCCAGGAAGCCACAGGAGGCCCTGGGCAGAAACCACCGAATGCATCAGAAGCCCCGGGAAGCCAGCCCGATCCATATTCAGACTCACTCGGATCCCTATTCAGACTCACTCGCCAATTTTGGTATGTGCCGCCAGGATCTTCACATGCAAAACGGTTGAAAGGCGCTTGGCGCTGCAGCTGAAACGCATCGCCTCGCACGCCACTTGGCAACTCGAGCGAACGCAGCTGGAACATGGCCTCGACAACGTGGATTAAGAACATGGGCGGCCAATTCGCCAAAGGCCCAGGGCGCCGTGAATGGACATGCCCAGGGCGGAACGCACTCTGCAAGGTGGATGGCCACGCGCGAGGAGCGGAGGGGCATTCCATCCAAGGCCAAGGCTGCGGTTGACCCTCGCGCAAGCTGTAGCCGAGGGAGGCGAAAGGGGGAACTGGCTCAGGAGGGATAGGGGAACAGACAATGACTGAAACATAAAAAACTCTGAGGTCCGCGCGGGTTTCTCGGATCGGCGCTGTACCCCCCTCTCCGCAGCGCGCGGAGCGCGCCAGGGGCTGCGCCAGAGGCGCCGCAGGGGAGGTTCCAGCGCCGATCCGAGTCCGAGAAACCCGCGCGGACCTCCGAGTTCTTCTGTTTATGTCATTGTTCGTTCCCTTCGCGAAAGGGAGGGCTGCCCAAGGAGGGAGGGGGGGGACATCGCCTTGGAATCGGCGATGCTTCGCCGATGGACCAGCCACAAGCCCTCGGCGGCAAACCAGCGCGCTCCTGGGCAGGCTGGGGCACCCCAGGCCCCGATCGGCGTGGAGGGTCGAGGCTCCTCCTCCTCCTCCCCCTCCTCCTCCTCCGGTAATCGAACCTCTGCTGGCGCCCCTGGGTGGGTAGCCACAGTGCACGGCCAGCACAAAGAGCACGGGGCACCCGTTTCGGCGGCGAACCCGATGGGGGAGAGAGAGGAGGCAGGCTTTCTCGGAAAGCGGCCGGGCTTCTCAGATCCCCCCCACGCCTGCTGAGAGGCCGTCTCTTTCTTCGGATAGGCTTAGGCAACTTCTCAGAGGGCGCAAGGGCTTCTGAGGAGCCTGGCCACCTTCTGGGAATGCCTGCCCCCTCTCGCTTCCGCCCGGGCTCGCCGACGACAGACCAGCAACAGGAGCACGGGGCACCGACTTCCCGTTGATGGCCGTGAACCCCTTCAGCTGGAGCGCCCTGCGCGCCGACACCGTGGCTTCGGTCCACGCCTCGCGGGCCCGCGGCCGAATACGGCCGAGGAAGCAAGCAAGGCCGACCCGAGGGGGGTGCGAGAGCATGGCCAACACCATTTCTACGTGTGATCGCCACGCCGTAGATGCATTCAGCTGCGGGGTGACCCCCTGGGACATCCGAACAATCATCGGCATCGTCATCGTCATCGTCATCATCATCACCACCATCACCACCATCACCATCACCATCACCATCATCATCATCATCATCATCATCATCATCATCATCATCATCATCATCATCATCATCATCAGCAGCATAATCATCAGCATCATCATCACCACCACCATCTTCATCATCACCATCACCATAACCACCACCATCATCATCATGATCATCATCATCAGCATCAGTATCACCATCAGCATCATCAGCATCATCATCACCACCATATGTATCATCACCATCGTCATCATCAGCATCAGCATCAGCATCATCATCGTCCTCTTCATACTTTTCATGATCATCATCCTAATTATCATCATCATTACCATCATCACCATCACCATCATCATCACAATCACTATCCTCATCATCGTCATCGTCATCGTCGTCGTCATCGTCAGCGTCATCGTCGTCATCATCATCGTCATCGTCAGTGTCGTCGTCATCGTCAGCGTCATCGTCGTCATCATCGTCATCGTCCTCGTCATCGTCATCATCATCATCATCGTCGTCATCATCATCATCATCATAGTCCTCGTCCTCGTCCTCGTCATCATCACTCGTCATCGTCATCGTCATCGTAATCATCACCATTACCATCATCATCAACTTCATAATCATCACCACCACCATCACCATCACACTTATCCTGATCGTCATCATCAGCATCAGCATCGCAATCATCATCATAATCACGATCAAAGCATTATCAGCACCATCATCCCCATCATCCTCATCTTCATCCTCATCCTCATCCTCATCGTCATTGTCATCCTCATCCTCATCAGCATCGTCATCAGCAGGGCAACACTCCATCATCAGGTCTCGACGAAGTTGACCGCGAGCCCCAATCTGCAGCCCTAGGCCGCATCCCCACCGCACCGAGTCGGCACGGCGCTGCAAGCTTCCCCACCCTGCCCGCGGGCGGACGGAGGAGAGCGCGATGCTGCGACCTTCTGACACGCTGTCATGAAAACGGAGGCAAGATGAGGATGACATCGGACCGGGATTTTGGCCGCTTTGAAGGATGTATTGGGCGCCGCGGCGCTCTCAGAGAGCTCCGGAACGCTCTGAGAGCCTTCTGGAACGCTCTAGAACGGATTTGTCCTTGTCCTAGCCGCCCGAGTCATGCCGATGCAGCCGCCACCGCCACTGCCACCCAGGATCAGTCTGCATCAAAGAGGGAAACTGAACCAAATGGAATGTGCATCGAATGGCGCCGCATCGGCAAAATGTCGGGGTCAAATCCGATCGGCCGCGCCAAAATGTACAACAACGCAATGCAAGCATCGGGACGCACTGGGATCGTCGGAATCGAATTGGATCGAGCTGGCGGGAGCCGATATCGAATCGCATGGACATTTACCCTGTCATGCCGATGCCTCAAACATCACGGCCACTGCCACCGTCGCTGCCCCCCTCCGCATTGCCGTAGGTTTCTGCAAACACTCAAGATGCAAAGGGAAACGGGTCCTTCTCGAAACGGACCCTGGGCCCAATGCTTCCAGCTTTTCATCCCAACCTGTGTTTTGACTGCCCCTGCGGACCAGGGAGGGGCCCCAGACAGCCGGAAACAAAAAAAGTACGTCAGAGAATTCCGCCGAGAAGCCATGCGATGCAGCCGAACCGACCGAACCGCCCGCACCCTCCCGTGGGGCTTGGTCGAAGTCCTCGTCGTCGCAAGGGGTCTCGGCGTCGTGGCCTTCGGGGCGGCCGTGGCGCTGTGGCCGACGGTGGCCGTCGCGTTGTGGCCGTAGCGCCGTCGGTGTGGCCGTCGAGGTGGCCGCAGGAGCCCGAAGGGGGCGTGCCCGCGAAGCGCAGGGACCCAACTTTCCAGAAGAAGACGCAAGCACAGAAACATCAACTTTCGGAGGTCCGCGCAGATGTTTCTTCTTCTTCTTCTTCTTCGAGCGAAGCGCAGGGACCCTTCGAGCGAAGCGCAGGCAGGGAACACATTTTCCTGATGCTGGACGCTGCCGAAAAGTTCTGCCAACGCCAGCGGCGCTCGCGAATGCCAAGTCTGGGTACAGTGGCGTCGCGGCGCGCCAGGCAGCCGCCTGCCTCGCCCTCTGGCCTGCCCGCGCGGACGGCGCCGCCACATCGCCCCGACTCGGGTGACCATCACACGCTGATGTAGAGGAGTAGCAACCAACAGAAACATAAACTCTCGGAGGTCCGCGTGGATTTCTCGGATCGGCGCTGGGGCCCCCTTGGCGGCGCCTCCGCCACCGCTCCTGCGAACCAGGGATGGGGGGCCAACGCCGATCCAACAACACCACGAGGACCACCGACAAATGAGGTTTATGATGTTGCTCTGACTCGGAAAACCGCCCCCGACTCGGGTAACCATCACGCCGATGGGCCGCAATGCGAAGTGCTCCTTGGAGACTCCCTCGCACGGCAAGCTCGTCTCGTGACGATCCACCTCTGGCAACACCCCGAACTGCCGGGGCGAGGAATGATATCTCGCGGCGCGCACACGGAGCGCGGCCTTCTATGTCAGGGTCCGCCTGGGGCGCCGTCGTCGCCGCGAAGTCGGCCTCGTCGTCGTCGTCGTCGTCGTCGTCGTCGTCGTCCTCGTCGTCGTTGTCGAGTAGTCGTCCTCGTCGTCGTTACCGATGTCGGGCGGGGGGCTGCTTAGAAGGCAAAGGCTTTGTCAGAAGGGGCCAGGAGCTTCTAATAAGCCTTCTTTGGAGCCGGGAATTCTAAGAAGCCCCATTACAAGCCCTCCGCCCTCTGAGAAGGCCAACCCCCTTTGACGCCCCCCCATTTGTGAGCGCCGCCAGTATCTGTGCATGCTCGCCAGGCAGAGCCTTCGACTGGAGCTATCGCAACAACAACAAACAAACGGGGATGCCTTCCTGCCGCGCGGGCAACACTCGGCTTCTGCGGAGGCCGCCCAACTGGGCTTCGAGCAGATGGCGTCGAAGGATCGCGCCGCATTGCCGATGTATCGACGACGTCGGCATGGAGAAAGTCGGCTGCTCATCGAGCCGTGCCACCGATGCAGCGGCGATGCGACGCGGACCGCCGAGGCAATCTACTGGACCACATCCCAGACAGACCACTGCGATATGATCGGCCCCAAAGGTCCCGACCCCTTCCCCGAAAGGGTAATTTTTGCGTCATGGACCCACGTTTGCTGGCCCCGGGTCCCGACAGACAACGGGCCTTGGAGGCCGAAATCGAAGAACAACGCAGGGATGGGCACACTCATCTCGTCGGAGAGTTATGGGATCTGGGCGGCCTGGAATCCTGCTACGCAAGCAGCACTCAGCTACTAAAGGGTGGGCAACATTCCGCGGCCGCGCGGTGCGGAAGCTACCCGAGACGGCGCCTGCGCAGGGCGAGACAGGCTCGCTGTCGATCGCCGCGCCTCTCCGTGCGGCCAGCAGGGCGACCAGTAGAAGACTACGGGCATGAGTTGCAACTAACAGGCCCCTGACCCTGTGGGGGAGGACTTCAGCTAGGAGGCCCAACGCATTAAGTATAGGAGTCTTCACTGCAGATGCATCAGACCAAGCACCCATGCTTTCTTTCCCCATTAAAAGCGGAGGCGCTGGTTTTTGACACCGCGTGGATCGTTCAACCCCTCAGGGGGACGTCAGACTCGCGTATTTTGGGGACTCGAGTAGGCCTGACGGGGCCGTCAGGAAAACGACGCGACGTATCCTGAAATCAAACGCGGGCCCTCGCTGCAAACATCACAAGAACTCACGGACCGTTCAAATTCGCGCTGGGACCGTCAACGCGGCGGCCAGCCCGAATCCCACAAACCTGAGTCTTACGTTTCCCCGAACATTGAACGATCGGCGGCTTTCCTGCCGACAGTTCGCCCCATACTGGCCGATTCAGAGCCCATGGCGGCGTTCAACACTGAACGCCCGCGGCGGTAACGCCGCCGCGTCGACACGACGCGAACCTAACCTACATGCGACGCAGGAAAGGACCGCAGAGCAGCACAAAATACAGTCGGGGTGGATTGAAGAGGACACGCGAGGGGACACAAGACTCTTCCGAGGGTCACATTGCCATATGAATGTAGAAGCATGGGTCGCGAGGCACAGGACACAAGGGTACCCTTGATTGGCAGAAACGACCTACTAATCCGGCTCGACTGTAGCACGGCCCCGCCGATCTCTGTGTTTTCTCCTGTCTCGGACGGCCCATTGGCGCATGGGGCCGGTGCCTCGTGCCTCAACGTGCCGTGTATTGTTTTTCTATACCTGGCCACCAGGGAGCCCCGACCCCTTCCCCGAGGCCCCTTTGTTCATCCCCTGTCTTTTTGAAATCCGAGGCCCGAACACCATCGCGTCACTAATTTTTGGCCCCAGGGTCCACTGAGGCCCCAGGGGCCCCAGATCAGTTAAGTAGTTGTTTTCTTACGTAAGGACCCCGAAATTCATCACTTCACTAAACCGAACCCAGGTCAGGGGCCGAATTGCTGCTGTGATGCAACATAGGTCTCGTATGAAATGATCCCAAGGCCCAATGAAGGCCACCAAGGGCCGAAAGCGGCGAGAAACCTTCCGCACTCTTCCTAAACATCTCGTCTGTATGAGGGTGATATGCAATTATTCCAACGCCCGCTGAAAGATGCCAGGCCCCCCGGAATCGGTGGCCCATCGGAGACCCCCATCGTGGCCCCACATCTTGGCCCAACGTGTTGGCCCCAAATCGTGGCCCGACCTTAAACGCAACCGCACGAAACAACAACGATGACGACGACAACAACAACAACACCAACAACATCAACATGGACATGATCATGAACATGAACAACAACAGCAGCAGCAACACCAACACCAGCAACAACAACAACGACAGCAAGAACACCACCACCACCACCAACAACAACAGCATTACCAAAAACCACCAACAGCACCAACAACAGCAACAATAACAACACAACCAACACCAACACCAACACCAACAAACAACAGCACCACCAACACCAACACCAACACCAACAACAACAACACCAATAACAACCTTAGAAACAACACCACCAACAACAGCAGCAGTAACATCAGCAGCAACAGCAGCATCAACAACAGCAATTATAACGACGACAATGACAACAATTTCGGGAAGTGTTTCTGGGAGTGTCCGTTGGGCTTTGGAAGTGTTCGTTGGTCTGGGAGGTTTCCTCGCCCCTGGATGTTTGCCAGCAGCCTCGCCTCGCCGAAAACGCCTTCTGGAACGTCCCGCACCAATGGTCCCATGCGGCCGGAACCAGAGTTGTGACCCCAAAGCCAGACCCCGTCGCGTCGTGGAAAAATTAGCCTGGCGAAGAACCCAACCATATGCAGTTGTCAGTACCGCAGCTGCGGGTTTCATCTTCAATGGAACTCCCCATAGGACTACGGAACGTGTGAGGGGTGTGCCGAGATGGGTGCCACTGGGGCATTCGGCGAAGCTCCCTATGGGGACATGAAACACGCGCGGGGCGTGCCGACATGGGTGGCGGAAACGCATGCGCGGGCCGCCACTGGGGCCTCCAAGGGAGCTTCCTATGGGTCCCCGAAACATGATGCTGCTGCGGGGGGGGGCCGGGATGGGTGGCGGAGACGCATGTAAGCGCCGCTACTGGGGCCTTCGGTGGAGCTCCCTATGGGGCCACGAAGCGCGTGAGGGGTGTACTGGGATGTGTGGCAGGGACGCATGTGAGCGCCGCCACTGGGGCCTTCGGTGCAGCTCTCTATGGGGCCACGAAACGTGTGAGGGGTGTGCCGAATTGGGTGCTGGTGGTGACGCATGCGGGCGTTGCCACTGGGGCCTTCGGTGGAGCTCCCTATGGGGCCACGAAACCTGTTGTTGTGAGGGGGTGGCGGGGGCCCATGTGAGCGCGGCCGCTGGGGCCTTCGGTGGAGCTCCCTATAAGGCCACGGAACGTGTGAGGGGTGTGCCGAATTGGGTGGGTGTGGGTGACGCATGTGAGCGCCGCCACTGGGGCCTCCGGTGGATGATGGGGCCACGAAACCTGTCAGGGATGTGCCGAAATGGGTGTGCGGGACGCATGCGCATGTGAGCGCCGCCACTGGGGCCTTCGGTGGAGCTCCCTATGGGGCCACGAAACGTGTGAGGGGTGTGCCGAATTGGGTGTGCGGGACGCATGCGGGCGGCAGCACTGGGGCCTTCGGTGGAGCTCCCTATGGGGCCACGAAACGTGTGAGGGGTGTGCCGAATTGGGTGTGCGGGACGCATGCGGGCGGCAGCACTGGGGCCTTCGGTGGGGCTCCCTATGGGGCCACGAAACGTGTGAGGGGTGTGCCGAATTGGGTGTGCGGGACGCATGCGGGCGGCAGCACTGGGGCCTTCGGTGGGGCTCCCTATGGGGCCACGAAACGTGTGAGGGGTGTGCCGAATTGGGTGTGCGGGACGCATGCGGGCGGCAGCACTGGGGCCTTCGGTGGGGCTCCCTATGGGGCCACGAAACGTGTGAGGGGTGTGCCGAACATGCGGGCGGCAGCACTGGGGCCTTCGGTGGGGCTCCCTATGGGGCCACGAAACGTGTGAGGGGTGTGCCGAATTGGGTGTGCGGGACGCATGCGGGCGGCAGCACTGGGGCCTTCGGTGGGGCTCCCTATGGGGCCACGAAACGTGTGAGGGGTGTGCCGAATTGGGTGTGGGTGACGCATGCAGGCGGCAGCACTGGGCCTTCGGTTTGGCTCCCTATGGGGCCACGAAACGTGTGAGGGGTGTGCCGTATTGGGTGTGCGGGACGCATGCGGGCGGCAGCACTGGGGCCTTCGGTGGGGCTCCCTATGGGGCCACGAAACGTGTGAGGGGTGTGCCGACTTGGGTGTGGGTGACGCATGCGGGCGGCAGCACTGGGGCCTTCGGCGGAGCTCCCTATGGGGCCACGAAGCGGTGTACTGGGTGGGTGAAGAGGAGAGGAGGAGAGGAGGAGAGGAGGAGAGGAGAGGAGGAGAGGAGAGGAGGAGAGGAGAGGAGAGGAGGACGCGGGGACCGTCTCTTCAAAACGAGGACCCAACACCACAGGATGGTTGGGAAAAAACTGAGCATGTTCGGAAGCTTTCGGCCTCTGGGGGGAGCTTCTACCACGCCCCCAGGGCGTCATCGAAAACGGCTCGGGATGAACAGCCGGTCCCCAGGAAGAGGTCCAGACCTTTGAGATGGATAGCTGGTTCCCAAGAAGAGACAAAGGCATCATGGCGACCCGAACGCCCCACAATTGCGGGGCGCTGCGTCGTCCACGCTGCCCAGTGCGCTGGAAGAGTGGGCGCGGCCGCCACCGTCGCCGCGGGAGCCGCCGGGGATCACGCCGCTCCTCGGCCAGGGCGGGGGCGGCGGTGCGGGGGGGGGGGGGGGACGCGGCAATGCGGAGTCCCAGGAGCGCCGCGCCCGCGCGCTTGGCGTCGCTGTGGCTGCGCAGGGGCCGACCGTCCCGGCACTCCGATACGCCCACCGCGAATTTGGCCACGAAACGGGAGGAGGTCTTGCGCGAGATGGCATGGCGACCTTGCGCGGTGTCTTCCGCGGCCCGCCAGCGCGGCACGCCACATAGAAGACGAGGACGCTTACGCGCCATCTTGCGCGGAAAACCCGCGCAATGGACCCCGTTTTCTGCGTCGCTCAAAAGTTCTCAGAACAAGATTCTCCGACCCTTCGGCGTGTGTGAGACGTTTTTCCGTTTGAATCGTTGTCGTCACCGTCGTCGTCGCCGTCAGTCCCACGGAAATCGTAAGAAACAACGAACATTGAAACACGTCGCAATTGCATCGAAGGGAGGGCCTTCCCGTTGATCCCTTCCTAGCCAGGGGGGTGTTTCCCGGGGGAGGTCCCAGGGGGTGCACCCGGGGGAGGGGCAGGGGTGGGGGTCCAGGGTCAGAAACCCATTCTCCCTGGGGGGTCCCAGAGCCAGAGAAGGCCCCAAGACGGGCCTAAGAGTGCTCCGAGAGGCCGCCGAAACAGTCCAGGAGGCCCCGAATCGCCGAACGATCGGTCGAAGACGCCCAAAACAGCATCCAGACAGCCCAAGAGGCCTACAAGACGCCCCCAAAGCCCTCCAAGAGCTCTCCCACGATGGCCACACGAAGCAAACTCTACTGATTTCCAGACATCCTCGACGGAGCTTGGCGTTCTCGTTTGTTCCCCACCCGACAGGTTGGGGCTCTTAGATTTCAGGACCAGGCCCCCCCAGCTGGCCCCACCCTGTATAATTACCATGGCCGCCAGACCCCAAATTGTCCTAAGAATCCCCGGTGCCCCGGGTGTCCCGCCTCGCGCCCGGCCAACCCCGCCCTGCATACCGCGGCCGCCAAACCCCAAATTGTTCCGAGCATCCCGAATATGCTGAGTGTCCCGCCTCGTGCCGGGCCAATTCCCCCTTGCATACCGCGGCCGTCAAACTCCAAGTTGTCCCGATTATCCCCGAGAATCCCTGGTGTCCCGCCTCGCGCCCTCGACGAACACGACAGAACACAACATGGCAGAACCGAACATGATATAACCGAAACAGAGCATGAAATAGCATGACATAACATAACACATCAATAGCATGACAAAGTAGAGCATACTATAACATCGCATAGCATACCATAGCATACCATGACACAACAGAAGACGACATAACGCAACAGCACAGACCAACCCATAACACACCTGGACATACCAGCTCATACCATGGCACAAATATAATATCATAACGCGACAGTAGAGCATAGCGACGACGAACACGACATAACACAATATGACATAACATAAAACGAACATAACCTAACATCCCAACACATACCATAGCAATGCCATGATACAACAGGGCATCGCATGCCATCACAGGACAGACCAGATCAGAACATCACCGAGCAGAAGCCGACGGAACACATTCAGCATATGATAACCGAACAAAACATAGCACTCCTTGGCATAACATATCACGACACAATACCACAGACCACATCATAACACGACAACAAATCATAGCGACACGTAATAACACATAACATTATCATAGACTACACGATACGGAGCTGAACCGTCAACAAGCATACGAACACATACCATAGCATGTCAGAGCATGCCATAACATACTAATACAGAACACCATAAACTAACATAACCGAACGAAACATCACACACCGTGGTATGACATACCAGAGCATGGCATGACAGCACCACACAACATATCATAACATGACAACATACCATAACGAAACGTACTAAAACAACATATCATGGTATGTAAAACGGAACCGAACTGAAAACAGCATGACGGGACATAGCATAACATATCATGCCATAGCGTAATACCACAGAGCAGGTCATACCGTAACACCAAAAACCATATGGTGCCATACTTGACCGTAACACAACATGTTCAATCAGAAGGAAACCATCAAAATGAAGAGGAACATCATAACTCACGGCACATCTAGCTGAACGACGTCACGCCGGCCCGTGGAGAACAGAACAAGACGAAATAAAACATGACATGAAAGAGCGTGACTCTATGGAACACGGTTGAACCGCTTAAGCCAGAAACGGCAGTTGTCGACCAATTTGGCGACCGCGCGCCGTCGGGAACAAACGCTGAAGGTTTCGGTAGGGATCGCTCGACGCAGAATAAATTAAGTTCCCCGCCGCTCCAAGACGGCGCAAGAGGCCCCCAAAGATCGCCTCAAGACGGCCCAAGAGGCCTTTTTCGGCTGATGGCGACAGGCTTCACGATGTCTTGACGCCCTTGGCTGGAGGCTGAGGTCTAATGTGGGGAAGAACCAGCCAATGATCGCCCAAGGCAAAACACGGCCGGAGCTACAGGAAATGGGGAGATCCAAAAATATTAGAAAGCCAAAAAACAACTCCACGCCAAGATATCCCCGAGACGGCCCCCAGGAAGGCCTCAGAGGTCCCCAGGAGGCGCCCGAGAGGCCCCCAAGTGGTTCCCCGCCCTCTGAGCAGGCCAGGCCTTCTAGCGCCGCCAAGCTGAGCCCTGGGAGGACCCATGCCCCCTCGCAACGTGACGCGGTCAGGACAAGCAGGGGGGGGGGCGCGGCTCAGTCGCCAGGGCCCCAGGCTATGAGGAGAGGGACGTGTTCGAAGTTCGATGATCGACTTGCTTGGAGGCTCTGTGTTATCCTGGGCCCTTCGGGGGCTTTTCGTGGCCACGACTGCATCCGAACTGGTGGAAATCCTGGCCAGGAAGTGCTCCCGAGAATGAGGCGTTTGAGGGCCGATCGGGGAGGCGGAGGGGGAGGAGCACCGGAAGCCGGCCTCGGGCCATGTGGCATCAGAAGACCTCTCCGGGAGGAGAAACGCGTTCCTTTCGAGTACCTTTCGGGCCCGCGGTGCCAACTGAGGGGCGCTCTCGGTTCCTTGCAAGGCCACTCACCTGAAACCCTATCCTCCCCTGCTCAGTCCCTCCTCCCGTTGCCGAGCGCCCAAGACCCAAGACCCAGACTTCGGCGCGCACCTCCGAAAATGCAGGGGTGTGCCATTCTTCTTCTCGGAGAAACCCTGAGAACCAACTTCTGCTGGATGTCTCAAGCCGGATCGATCTGCGAGGGCCCCATGCCCCAAACTTGCCGAACACGCCCAGCGTGAAAAGCGATGCAAAGCCCAGATCTCAACGGAAGCGCGGCGGCGGCGGCCAAGGCCTCCCAGTGGGTCGGAGGATCGCGCCGCATCGCCGATGCATCGCTGATGCATCGGCGATGTATAGGCGACGACGGCGTGGAGAAGATCGGAAACCACATCAAGCAGCATCGCCGATGCGGCGCGATCCTCCAACCCCACCTACTCGGAACCCATCCTCCCAAACATTCTCCGATCTATTTTTTTCAACCCGAGGTCCTAGACCTCCCAATCACCTCCCTGGGGGTAATTTTGCGTAACGGGTCCGTTTGATTGATGGTCCCGCGGCCCGATAAGTAGGCAACCGCAAGTGGACCCAACACCTGCAGGGGAGATCTCTGAAACGCCGGCCGGGGCTCAGAATCCGCAGGATGTCTGCAGCCAAGTGAACACCAGTGGGGGCGTATGGGTAGGTTCGCAGGGGGACGCAAAATAAAGGCCCCCCGAGACCGGAATCGACGAAAAACACAAGGATTGAACGAATCATACCCTCCCAGATCTGGGGGTGCCCGGGTCCGTGTTTGATAGTCCTCGGAACCGAGAACGGCCCCCAACCTCCAAATCAAGGAATCAAACGCCGGGCTTGAAACACACATACCGTCGCGGGCGTATATCCATATCCAGCGCCTGGGGAACCGATGTCCTGGAAGAGCCTAGCGGGCGGTGGATGTGGGCATACTTCGACTCTCGGTCCCCCGAATATGTGTATATATGTACATAGATACAGACATATAAATACGCATGACATTACATACATACATACATACATACATACATACATACATGCATGCATACATACATACATACATACATACATACATACATACATACACACATACATACATACTTACATACATACATACATTACATACATACACACATACATACATACATACATACATACATACATACATACATACATTCATACGTACGTACGTACGTACGTACGTACATACGTACATACATACATACATACATACATACATACATACATACATACATACAAGAGGACGCGTTTCACGGGCGCTTGCCTTGGGAACATTCGGCGGCGCGTTTCAAACTGGGGGGTGCTCCCCCCCCAACACTCGGCGCCGTCGATCAAAACCATGGGGACTCCCCTCCCCCCCAAACCCACCCCCTCCCGAACCCCCTCCCCCCCACCCTCCCATGGGGAAGTCAAAACCCCCCTCCCCGCCCCCTCGGTGCTGGCGCCGGCGCTGGCGGCCGCCAGCAGCGCCCACGGCGGGGACGCAGCGACGATGACCAGAGGCAGCCCATGGGGGGGGGGGGGGTTAAACCCCCCCCCCCCCACCCACAGGGGGGGGGGGTTCAAACCTCCCCCCCCCTCGGCGCCGGCGCTGGCGGCGGCCAGCAGCGCTGGCGCTGGCGCTGGCGACGGCGGGGACGCAGCGACGATTACCACCACTACCACCACCACCACTACCACCACCACCACCGCCTCAACCCACCACCACCACCACCACGACAACCAACAGCACCACACAACTACCACCACCACCACCACAGCCACCACCGCCACCACCACAACCATAACCGCAACTCACCATCACCACCACCACCACAAAAAAAAAACCCACCACAACTACCACCACCACCACCACAGTCTACCACACAACCACCACCACCGCCACAACCACCACCACTACCAGCAGCACAACCCACCGTCACCACCACAAACCACCACACCACAACCCACCACCACCACCGCCACCACCACCACAACAAACGTCCGCGAACCACCGCCACCACCACAACCCACCACCCCCACAACCACCACCGCAAACCACCGCCACACCACCACAACGACCACCACCACCACAACTCACCATCACCACAACCACCCCCAAAACCCACCACCACTACCACCACCACCACCACAATCTACAACACCACCACCACCACCGCCACATCCACCACCACTGACAGCAGCACAACCCACCACCACCAACATAAACCACCACACTACCCCCACCACCGCCACCACCACCACCACCACAAGCACCACCTCCACGAATCACCGCCATAACCACAACCCACCACCACCACCACCACCACAAACCACCACCACACTACCACCAAACCACCACCACCACAACCAACCACTACAACCACCACCACCACCACCACAAACCACCACCACACCACCACCAAACCACCACCACCACCACCCACCGCCAAAACCACCACCACAACAAACCACCACACCACCACCACAACCACCACCACCGCCACCACCACCACCACCACAACCCACCACCTTCACCACCAACGTCATCCTCGTCGACGCTCCCCGCCACCGCCGCCCGTCGCCGCAGACACTGGCGCCGGCCAAGAATGGACATCGTCGTCCCCGCCGCCGTCGCCAGCCGCCGCCGACCCAAGCGCAGCGCCGGCCCGAGGAGAGGGGAAGCACTGGGGGGGGGGGGGGTCGAAACCCCGGGGGATGGGTTCGAACACCCCCCCCTCCCTCCGTCACGGGGGGCTTGGGGGGTTGGACCCCCCCCCCCTCCATCCAGGGGGGGGTCCGGTTCCAACGCCCCCCCCCTTCCCCTCCAAGCGACCACAGAACGCGCTCGTGCATACATACATACATACATGCACACATACGTACACACATACATACATGCATGCATGCATACTCACATACCTACATACATACATTCATACACATATATGTATATTCACACACACATACATATATATATATATAGATAGTCTATGTGCAACAATATACACATATGCACATCTACATCTAAATATATACACAAATATGTCCATATACACATCCAGGTTCCATATTCATCGACTGTCGAGATTCCCGAAGACCGATCCCCCAGGCGGGGGTCATGACGAAGTCCCCGCCCCGAATCTGGGGTTGGGCGAGCCTTCATGGAAGCCTCTGTGGACCTCCGCGGCCCTATATCAAGAACAAAATCTCGACCAGACCTCGTCCAAACTTCGACCGCCCCTCTTCACCCCTTCGTCCAGATCTCGTCCAAGTTTTGCCCAACAGATGTCCACCAAATCCGACGCAATCCGGACGAACCGAATTTTGGGACCTTCTGTTGGCGGCCTGGAATTGGGCACCAACACCAACACAGGGGGTTGCCTCCACAGGGGGAAGATGATCCTAGGTCTCGGTGTTGGTGGCAATCTTTCGGTCACCTTGGAAGCCAGAATATTACCACCATCACCGAGATCGGGATCTTCTTCCCTCGGTAGATGCACACCGCCGATGTTTGGTGCTGGTGTCAATCTCTGGGCCTTCTAATTCTGAGGCTCCCATGAACACCAACACATCTGGGGGCGCCAGCGGCAGGCGCTCAGCGTCCTCCGGGCGGCGCAACCAGCGCCGACAGCATGCCGAGGGCGAGCTCCGCCCGCGAGAGCATGCCGCCGGCCGCGCCGACGCTCTGGAAGCGCGCCCGCGCCTGCTCGGGCGGTGCGTGATGGGGGGGGCGACGTGGGGGGGGTGGGGGGGGGAGCTAAGACTCGTGCACCTTTCGTGCCCCTTTTGGGCCCTGGGCCCTCATAAGGCTCAGGTGCGCGAAAGGTGCACGGATATTCGCCCCCCCGCTTCGCGCCCCCCCATTGCGCAACGCCCGACCTGCTCTAAGACCACCCGCGCCGGCGCCACGTCCTGGCCCAGATGTTTCCAAAGACCTGACGTGTTCAATCTGGAAGCTGCTCCTCGATTTTTCGGCATCCCCATGGCCTGGTATACATCTCGGGCCCCAGGCCAAGCAAAAATGGATCCGGGGCAAAAAACTACCCCTGAGGCAAAGGTCGGGACCTCCCCAAACATCTGGCGCTCCCAGTGTTAAGATGCGTTGACGCCCGGAGGTCTGGACCACTCCCAAATAGGGCCGGTTTTCCATCCTGAATCGTTTTTTGACGGTCCTGGGGACCGGCGAGGACTCCTGGAGGCCGAAAATAATGCAAAAACCGACCGCTCCGGTACTTCCGAGCTCAGGATCTCTGGGTCTGGGATGTCCGCGGGGCGCAACCCTGCAATTTTTACTGCCTCTTTCGGCCCTGGGGGCCCTCATCGGGCCCAAGAACTCAACACAATGCTCAGGACGGAAAGCCGGTCCCCAGGAAGGGGGGGCAGACGTCTGGGGGCAGACGTCTGGGGGGCCGATCCTGAAAAATCGAGACATCGGATGTCTCGGAAGGGGGTGTTGGAAGGTGGGCTCACGTGGCTGGGCCCCGAATCAGCTCACGTGGCGTGTTTCCCTGGCACCTCCTGGCACCGGATGGAGCGACTGTATCGAGGTGAGTGCCTGGCAGCGGGGGCGAAACCAGCTGCATGCGGCAGATTTCGTACCCCCCTTTCGCCATCACCCCCTTTCGTCCGACCCGTGAGGGCGAAAATCAAGATTGAGGCTTTCCCCCGCTTTCACCGTCTGGAGGCCGTTTGCACCGCGCCCCCTCAGAAGCTACTCGGTAAGACACCAGCAAGGGGGTCGAGAGGTCCAGAGAAGGGGTCCTACTGCAGGCAAGGGGGTCGAGAGGTCCAGGGCCCCGAGACTTGAAAACATCGGGTCGTCCGAGGGCGGGGGGCTGCCGCCATCACACGAGAAAGAAACCCCAGAATACTGCGATAGCTCTCGGAGATCCGCACGGTGTTGTCGGGTCGGCGCTGGACCCCGTCCCCACACCGCTCAGCGCCGCCGTCCTGGGGCCCTGGAGAAGGGCATCTTCCCAGAGATTCTATGTAGTGCGTTGATCTTGTTCAGTACGGGGCTCCCCAGGGACGCATTCTTCATCTCGAGCTGAGTTTCACGGCCACCTGGCCCTGGCGGGGGCCCCCAGAGGCAGCAAACTGCCCCCAAATCCTAACATCATGCTCGCAACAGGTCGGAGGTCTGGCCTTTGGGTCACAGCTCGGACCTCCAATGGCCGTCCTGGGACGATGCCGGCATCCCTGGAACGCTCTCGGCGAGTAGGGCTCCCCGGGGGGCGAGAACGGCGAAAACCTTCGTGCTGCTTCTGCACAGGCCCCCTCCGCTTTGATTTGTTGCATTGCTGCGTTCCTTCCGCGGCACCAGAAGAGCCCCCCGACCCCCTTCCGCGGGTGCAATTGTCCGGCCCGGATCCAAGACTTGGTCCAGGGCAGGCCGAAATCCAGGGAGAGCGCTCGGAGGGGTAAAAATCCGGTGCTCAGAGATCGGGGGACCTCGAAAGGGCAGCTCGCTGGTGGCCAGCTTGACCTTGTTGGTCTCTACGGCCTCCACGTGTACTCCAGACTCAGAGAAGATAGGGAAGCTTGCCCACATTACTATGTTGCGACACTGTGAGAGAAGGCTTTTTTGTCACACGGATCGTCCTCGTGGCGCACGGCGTCCATGGCCGTCGAGCCGAGGCGGCAGATCGGCCCAAAACGCTTTCACGCCCTCCATACTGCCCAGGAGGCCTCCAGGACGCCGAGGACCCCAAGATCGCCTCAAGACGGCCCAAGAGGCCTCCAAGAGGGCCCCAAACAGCCCAAGAGGACCTCAAGGCAGCCCAGAACGCCTGCAAGACGGCCCAAAAGGCCCCCAAGACGGCTCCAAGAGCGTGCCCAGGCGGGGGCCCGAACGGACATTTACAGCCCTCGGCCCCGAGAGGCTCCCAGGAGGTCCCAAGAGGTTCCCAAGAGGCCCCAAGAGGCCCCAAGAGGCCCACAAGAGGTCCTCAGGAAGCCCGAAGAAGCCCCGAAGAGGCTCCCAAGAGGCCCCCAAGAGGCTCCCGAGAGGCCAACAAGAGGCTCCTAAGAGGCCCCCAAATTCTTCCCTAGAGACCCCAAGAAGCATCCCTTGACCCTGGTCCACGTCAGCCTCGCCGTCGTCGCCTCCGTTGTCGTCGTCGTCGTCGTCGCCTCCCTTCAAGGTCGGCGGCAGCGGCCGTAAGGCCTTCGCTATCTGTGGAATATGATTTTGGTTTTTGCGTCCTCGTGGCGCACGGCGTCCATGGCTGCCGAGCCGAGGCGGCACATCTCCACCAACGCGCAACACCCCGCCTCCTGGGCGACCAGGCACGCCGGCCGGCCCCGCATCAGGTCCACGACCGGGCCGAAGCCGCCCAGCACGCCCATAGCCAGCGCCGCCTCTACGAAACAACCATATATTATCCGGAGCTCCGCCTCCCCCCCAAGCCTTCCCCCCCAATGCTAATGGGATCGCCCCCCCCCCCCCCGCTGGATGGGTACGCACGTGAGCCTCGAGAAGTCGATTGGGTTCGCCCCCCGTTCCATGGTAGAACCCTGGAATCCATGGGCGGGGGTTGTGAACCCTCGACCCAGGATCATGTATGTACAGACGCCCTCCATCGAGTTTTGCCTGTGCCTCGGTGGCGGTGTATAAGACTGCTGGCTCGAGGTGGTGATTTACGCACTGCCACCCGCCACTGAGGCCATGGAGCAATCCTCTGGAGGAGTGTCTCTGTACATGTTTTTGCGGCGGAGCCTCATTGACGACGGCCACGTTCTCTGGGAAGCGGTTCGCCAGCCTGTAGGACCAGCCAGCATTGCAAGGAGGGAATCTATCCACTCTCAGCGCGTTGAAAACCGACGTCCTGGGACCCCAGCGGGCGGTGGATAGGGTCATAGTTTGGCCCACATATCCACATCTACCGCCTGCCGAGTTCCCCGAAGATCGATCCCCAAGCGATGGTTCTGGGAAAATCCCCGCCTCGTGAGTCGGGAAATCGGATCGGATCGGAACGTGCGTCGGATTGGGCCGCATCGGCACCTACCTGGAATCGGAATCAAATCAACCACACCCAGATGCACAGCAGCGCTATGCAGACATCGGGCCGCACCGGATCGTCGACAGCCGCACGGATTTTCCTGGATCGGCGCTGAGCCCCCCTCCCTGGTGCGCGGAGCGGGCTGGGGGGGAGGCGCCGCCAGGGGGCCCAGCGGCCCAGCGCCGATCCAAGAAACCCGCGCGGAGCTCCGAGCAATTGTGGCCATGCCGCTGTTGGCTCTTCGAGGGCCGAGGAGGGCCCCCGCCGCCTGGCCTGACGATGGCCTCCCCCGCGCTCAGGGCCCCCAGGATGCCCAGCAGCGGGCCGCTGCCCCCCGGCGCGGCCCGCGAGGCCCAGGCCACGCGCGCGCGCACCAGCGCACGGCAGACCTCCGCGGCGAGCGGCCGCGAGTTGGGGAAGAAGCTCAGCAGGCCTGAGCAGGAGGAGGAGGAGGCGGACCAGTGTAAACCCAAGAGTCATCAACTATGTTGGAGTAAACCCTCCCTCCAAGCTCCCTCTTCAGAGGCCCCTACATCAGTTCATTTTCATTGATGGAACTGCTTCGTTGGAAGACAACCGTTTGAAGACCCTGAAGAATGCCAAAACATTGTTCTCGGGATTCCAACGCCACGGATCAACCTAACTCTTGCGTCTTGACGACCCTGAATCGTGTCAGAACGCCAGTCCCAGGACTTCAACACAGAGAGCCAACGTAATGCTTGCACGCGCATAATCCTGAATCCTTGCCAAAACACTGTTCTTTATGGTACGTTGATGATGGGAATCCGTGAACTTCTTGATTTTCGTGTAAACATTATACATAAAAAACGAATGTGCGCCGCGCTAAAGCGAGAGACACATTTTAAAAAACAAGAGTTTTGCAACTTGTCAAACCGAATGTGCGCCGCGCTGAAGCGAGAACCACATGTTGAAAACCAACTGCCCTCAATCCGTGAAACTCTTGCAACTTGTGTAAACCGAATGTGCGCCGCGCTAATACAAGAAACACAATTTGAAAACCACTCGCTCTCAATCCGTGAAGCATTTATTGTTTTTTGCTGAAAAAAAAGAATGTGCGCCGTACTAAGGGGAAAAACATGTTGAAAACCACCCGCCTCAATTCGTGAAACCATTTACAAATTTTCATCACGAATGTGCGCGGCGCTGAGGCGAGAACCACATGTTCAAAACAATCCGCCCGCAGTCCCTGAAGCTGTTGCAAACTTTTGAAACGAATGTGCGAAAACCACATGTTGAAAACCACCCGCCCTCAGTCCGCGAAACTGCTGCCACTTCTAAGCTTTAGAATCATAATTGGTGAGGAAGTCTCAGGCGAAACGCCCAGCCAGCCCTGAAAACTGGCCTCGGGGTGCGACAATGCGAAGTTATTACAAGGAAAAGGAATGGAAGAGGAAGATGGATGGATGGGGGGGGAAGATGGAGGAGGAGGAGGAAGAGGAGGAGGAAGAGGAGAAGGAGGAGAAACGAGGTATGAGTAAGGAGGGATGATGATGATGAGGAGGAGAAGGGTAGAAGGAGGAGTGGAGGAGGAGGAGGAGGAGGACCAGTGTAAACCCAAGAGTCATCAACGATGCTGGAATTAACACTCCCTCCAAGAAGACCCCTCTTCATAGGCATCTGTAACGATTCATTCCCAGTGAGGGAACTGCCTGGCTGGAAGACAACAGTTTGAAGACCCTGAAGCATGCCAAACCATTGGATCACCTGACTGCTGCGTCTTGACGACCCTGAATCGTGCCAGAACGCCATTTTTGGGAATTCAACATCGCGAATCAATATAACTGTTGCACCCGCATGGTCCTGAATCCTTCCAAAACGCAATTTATGCTACGTTGACCGAGGAAATTCGTGAAACTCATTAAAATGTAATGTACGAATGTGCGCGGCGCCAAGGCGAGAACCCCATTTTGAAAAGCAGCTGCCCTCAATCCTTGAAACCCTTGCAAATGTTTAAAACGAATGTGCGCGGCGCTAAGACGAGAACAACATCTTGAAAACCACCCGCCCTCAATCCGTGAAACCCTTTTGCAAATGTATACAATGAATGTGCGCGGCGCTAAAACGAGAGCCACATTTTGGAAACCACTCGCCCTCAATCCGCGAAATCCTTGCAACGTGTTCACAATGAATGTGCGCGGCGCTGAGGCGAGAACCCCATTTTGAAAACCACCCGCCCTCAATCCGTGAAACTCTTGCAAATGATTGAAACGAATGTGCGCGGCGCTCAGGCGAGAACCACATTTTGAAAACGACCTGCCCTCAATCCGTGAAACTCTTGCAAACGTTTAAAGCGAATGTGCGCGGCGGTAAGGCGAGAGCCACATGTTGAGCACCATCCGCCCTCCATCAGTGAAACTGTTGCCATTTTTTAGGATTCACGATCATCAGTGATGAGGAGTCTCAGGCCAAACCTCCGGCCCGCCCTAAAAACTTGCCTCGGGATGCGACAGGGAGGAATTATTTATAAGGAAAATGAATGGAGGAGGAGGAGGAAGAGGACGGGAGGAGAAGGTGAGAAGGGTGAGGGGGAGATGGAGGAGGAACATGAGGACAGAGGAGGACGGGAGGAGGAGCAGAAGGATTACAGGAGCGGTCCGACAAGAGGCTTGGCAGCCCCGAGCCCCGACGTGGCGAGGCTCCTGGCGGACAACAACGGTCTGGGGCCCAACTCGGGGACGTGCGATGTGTGCGCGTCCGTCCTCGATAGGGGTACGTCTGCATAGTCACCTCGGAAAAAAATCATGATGCTAAATGTCTAACCGACCGTGGATTCCATAATTGTCTCTACACGACCCTGGTGTTTGGTTTGCTCATGTCTTGCATGCGTGTGTGTGCGAATGTGTGTTGTGTGTAAATGTGTGAGTGTGTGTAGGCGTGTGTGTGTGTGTGTGTGTGCGTGTGGGGGATTCGGGGACTCAGGGGGGAGAAATCTGCCAATCAACATCGAACAGGTTAACTGGAAAGCCCGACCAGATAGAATGTGTGGGGGGGACTCGGTGATGGGGGGCGGGAAATCTGCCAACCAACATCGAATCGCTGAACTGGGCTAAACCAGACCGGGTAGGTAGGAGCCTTCGTCGCATCGGTCTGCATCGGCACTGGAATCAAAATCGTATCGAACCGGCCGCGCCAAGATACACGACGAAGTCTTGCAAACACTGGGCCGCACCGGACCGCCCGAACACCGAAATCGAAGCGAATCGAGCTGGGCGACATCGGGACCGATTGGCGGCGCGCACAAGGGCGTGGCGCGAGGAGGGCGGTTTTCTGAGATTGCGGGGGGGCTTCTGAAACGGTGGGGGGCTTCTCTAGTGGAGTGAGAAGTATGCGCATACACCGGTCCTGGCCAGGAACCATCCTGAGCCCAGGATCTGTGCATACGCCCTCCCTCCTGCCGAGCCTGGCGTGCTCAGGGAGGCATTTGCACCGATCATGGGCCCAGGATGGGCTTGGACAGGATCGGTGTATGTGCATACTTCTCGTGGCCCGAATTAGGTGGCCACATGTGAACCCTACCCCCAGCCCCCACGATTTCTAAGGAGGTGTGGGGAGTTCACTCCGCTGGGGAGCTCCCGAACGAAGTGAACCCCCACCCGCCCTTAGAACTCGTGGGGGGTGGGAGTAGGGCCGAGTAGGGTTCACATGAGGCCACCGACCAATACCAGCAGCTTGCTGACACCCCTGGGCCCCTCTTTCCGAGAAGCCTCCCGCCCTGCTAGACGGCCGCCCCCTTCGCGCCCCCTCCTTTGTGCGGGCCGCAGGCACCCTGGGCCTCTCCAGGGGTGCGTTCCGACCAGAATCTCGAAGCGAACCCAGCCGTGGCGACGAGGGCCTCCTGGGAGGCCCGAGAAGGCGAGAACGAGGCAAGAGCAGCGGCATCGGCACTTCTCCTCCTCTGAACCACGTCCCAACGATGACAGTAAACCAGAAAGGTCAACAACGGTGAGAGAACGACGCCGTCGAGTAGAGTGCGCACGGCTGCGGCAGGGAAAGGTAGTGGTATCGATATACCGTCTTCTGACAGTCGATCCCTACCCGCACCAACCATCGATTGTGCTGAACCGATGGGAGACGGGGGCAGGGCTCGGATCGGATCTCGCCACCTGCCCGACGACTTCCGAACCCTGCGCCCGCCGCCCATCGAGTCGCCTGCATCGTGGACCGGCGAGGGCCTCGGACTTCGCCGCCGAGAACGGGCCCTGGCCTGGGCAGGCTGCCAAGGATGCCGGGGACTTTGGAGTCCCGAAGCGGTGCGGTGACAGACCGTGCGGTGACCTCGAAATCCCCCAGGACCTCACCGCAAGGTCCGTCACCGCACGGTCTTGGCACCCCGGAGGCCCCTGTCGCCCGAGACGTCCTCGGAGAGGGACCCGAGCCCCAAGTCCCAACGGTGGCCCCGAATCCCCACCGGCTCACCGCACGGTGTGGTCACCACCCCGTCTGGGGGCCCCCGGAAGTCTGGGGGCCCCCAGAGGGACAACCGTCCCCAGCATGTCCCCGACACGCCGGGGCCTGCTCTCCCGGGCACGCCCGACGGCTGTCCTCGGCATGTGCGGGGGACGGCTGTGTTGTCCCTGTCGGGCAGGGGGACGGGGGCGTCCCAGGCGGCCAGCGCTTATCCGACGAGTTTTCCTCTGGAGGCGGTCGCTGCCTGTCTGGATGAGGAAGCACTGACCTGCTTGATCTCTCGCACGAGGCTCCAAGACGCCCACCAGGAGCCCCAAACAGAGGCCACACGAGGCCCCAACACGGCCTCCAAAGGGCCTTAAACGTGCTGCCAGGAGGCCCACGAGAGACCTGCCAGGAGCCCTGCAGGGGGTCGGCGGTGCGGCGCAAGCCCAAGATCATTGACCTGCTTGATTTCTCACACGTGAACTCTGACATATCAGGGGATATGTCGACACCTATCCCAGGCTTCGTGTGGAATTCCCGAAAGGAGCAACAGTGTGTGGCCAAACCCTGGGATATAGGATGGTGGGGCGCCCATCCTCGATTGGGGGTGCATCCGAATAGACTGGGGTGTACCCCAGGGCCTGCCCTGTTTCTGTGCGGCCAAACTTTTCGGGTGGAAGTCGGGGATTGGGGGCGACTCACCGCCTGCGCTTCCGAGGATGTCCCTCGGAGAATTTTGCTACCCTCTAGAGGGAAGATCATGGTTCTGTTGGAGTTCTTGCCAAGGGCGCCTAACTCTCGCGCTCGCGCTGCGCTGAGAGCGCATACCTTCGCATTCTCGCGCCGTCCCCCAGGGGACGCGAGGAGGAGGAGGAGGCGAGGGAGGATTTGACGCCGAACCTCGAGGGCGCGACGCTCGCAGAACTTCGCGCTCTCGAGGGCGCCCTTGCTTGATGGGGCCCATTTCCCACCACCACTACCATGGGTAGGAGAGGGGAGCAGGAGGAGGAGGAGGAGGGAGGAGGAGGAGGAGGAGGAGGAGGAGGAGGAGGAGGACCTCCTCATCATCCCTTCTCCCTCGTCCTACATGTGGCAGTGGTGGTGGAACAAATTTGCCCATCACAGCTGACGCCCTGAACTCTGACGCGCCCCCACACATCACCAGCCTGGCCTGTGAGGGCCGCGAGGCCGTCCTCCAGCACCGGGCCCCGCGGGCCGCCGTCCCCGCCCGCGCCCTCGCCGGCCTCCGCGGCCTGCCGCGCCTGCTGCGCGGGCAGGAAGAGGCCCGGCTCCACGAAGCCTGCTGGCGGCGCACGACGGGGGGCGCGGCGCGAGGGGAGCACAGCCAACTCGTATAGGATGAGGGCGCACGACAAGGATGTCAAGGGCATCGGAAAGTCATGTCGACACTCTGCGAGCGGGGCGCGGCCAGCGAAAGCGGCCAGGCATGGGCCGAGGGGGAAGGATTGTGGGCTTCTTTTCCCCCACCACCACCAGAAGTAGGAGGGGGAGGGGGTCCTCCTCCTCCTCCTCCTCCTCCTCCTCCTCCTCCTCCTCCTCCTCCTCCTCCTCTTCCTTCTCCTCCTCGTCCTACACCTCCTTCCCCCTCCAACTTATGGTGGTGGTGGTGGAAGACAGGCCCATCAGAGGATGTCAGGGGCGCCCTTGGGGCAACTGCTCATCCTCACTGTGCGGGTTGACTGCAGGAGGGCGCAGCCAGAAGCGTGCCCCGATCTTCTGGGCAGGCTCGCCCTGGGACCAGGATCGGCGTGTGCGCCCTCCTGGCTTGGGCAGGGTACGCACGGATCCCGGGCCCAGGATCGGCCCGGCCAAGATCGGTGCGCGGTGTAGGTGTACATAGCCGGTGCCCCCCGGAGGGGTGGCCTTCTATAGGAGGCCTGGAGGGCTTCTTGGCAGGCAGGGAGCCTCTTGCAGAAACCGTCTCGGCATCTTGGAGGCCTTCTCGGAATTAGCCTGGGGGGAAACGGGTCCTGAGGGAAGTGTGCCCTCGACCCTGGTGCCTCCCTCCAGGACGGATTTGTCATTCGGAATAGTTTTCTGGCGGTCCCGGGGCCCGTGGAGGGTCCCGAGAGCCCGAAAAAGCTGAAAAACCTCAGGACCCGCTTCCCCCCCATGGCGGCGGAAGCATCCGGGGCCTTCTGAGGAGGCCCCCTGCCTTCTAAGAAGCAACCCATCTTCTCAGAAAGCCGCCCCCCTCGCGGCACCTTCTTTGTGCGCGCCGCCAAGCCTAGCACGTGCCCCAGCAACTCGGACGCCGAGATGGCCAGAAGACCCGAAAACCTCCGACCTCCAACGCATTTCCCGAGATCCGACTCTCAATTTCGGCAGATCAGCACGGAGAGATCGATGTCGGCCGCGATTGGCGAGGAGCGGTTGGGCGTCGCTTAGTGGTGGGCAGAAAAACATGGGAGGGAAGAAAGGTGCACGTTTCGGGCCCCAGAAGCCCCCCTTTTGTGCCCCCTGTATTCCGCAGCCCTCGCTGACCCGCACTTATCGCCCCCCCCGCCTCCTCACGCGAAGCCCAAAGCGGTCAACATCGGCCGATTCCAGTCCACTGGCGACGTTTCACCTCGAACGCCCCCCGTCGCGGTCGCTGCCGCGTCGACACAGCGCGATCCGCTCGGCGCCCAGCTTCGCGCCCGAAGAGGGCGGACGCCGCAGACGCCGCCTTAAGGGCGTGGAGAGAGGGGGGTCCTGCGGCGACCCAGGAGATCCGCTTGGCATGAAAGAATCGGGGAGATGTCATCGGGGGGCTCGGGTTCGGGGGACTCGTGTTGGCCTGGGTTGTGACTGGCACCTGGTGGGCACCCTGGGGGGCACCCTGGGGGGGCGGGCCCCTGGCAGAGCTCTCCGCCGCGCCCCGAAGCGGCCCGACATCCTTTCGGTCACGTGCACAAGTGCGACAGCCTTTCGGTCGACGGCTGGCACGGATCTCCCGAGGCCTCCGAAAGACCTCGCCTTCCGTGGCGAAATTTTTGGGCCTTCTGAATTGCCAGATTCACCGGGTTGTACTTGGGGTTCGGGCAGTTCCGCACCATCCCCGTCAGGAGGCCGGTGGCCCAGAACGCCAGCTGCGGGGCGGAATGCAGCACGGAGCCCTCTGCCGTCGCGCCGTCCTGGCAGGCGCGGCATCGGATCGAGATGTGTATCGCATCGGGCTGCTTTTCGACAGGCTGGGGTTTAGAGATCAAGAACATGCCTCCCTGCCAACCCCACCCTGCATACCGCGGCCGCCAGACCCCAAATTGTCCCGATGATCCCCGAGAGTCCGCGGTATCCTGCCTCGCGCCTGGCCAACCCCACCCTGTATACCGCGGCCGCCCCCAAAGTGCCCCGATGATCCCCGAGAATCCCGGGTGTCCTGCCTCGCGCCCACGACGAACACGACAGAACACGACAAAACAGAACATAGCATCACATAACGGAACAGAGCATTATAGAGCATGACTGAACATAACATATCAATATACTGACAACGTAGAACATGCGATTCTATAGCATACCAGAACATACTATGTTATAACATAATACGACATAACACAACATAACCAACCATAACCGAGCATCACATTACTCACATTGACAGGACATATCATATCATGGCACAGCATCGCAGAACATATCATAACACGACGGCAGAACATAGCGACGACGGACACAACGTAACACAACATTCCATACATTAGAATGGCAGAACGGAACACGAGCATGAAGACCATGACATAACATAACATAACCATGTCATGACAAAATGTAGCAGAACATAGCATCGCATAATTTACCGAACCAACACGTGACATAACATGAGCCGACATAACACAACATAACAGAGCGGAGAAGAGCCTAACATAACGCACCTGTGCATAACAGGTCACACAACGACACAACATCACATATAATAGCATAACACGACAGCGGGGCATGGTGACGACTAACAAGAGATAACACAACATTACACGGCATAACATGACAGAACAGAACACGAGGTTGCCAGGACATGACAGAGCATGCTATAGCAATCGCAATACACATTAGAGCATACCAGAACATCACATAACAGACCATAACCAAACATGCCAACACAGACGACGACAGAGCACAGCGTGCCATAACATGGCGGAACATAACATGACACACCTTGAAATAACATAACATACTATGACACAACAACACATGACATAGCATGACACGACAGCAGAGCATAGCGACACCTACTAGCAGAACATATCATAAGATACTATGAAGAGCCGAGCCGTAAGCAAACCGTAGATCGAAGAGCATACCAGACCAGAGCATGATAGAACAGAAGACGAAACACGACATACCATAACAAAACAAACCATAACATAAAACACCTTAACATACCAGATCCTATTATGGCACAGCATCGCATACTATATCATAAGACGACAGCAGAGCATAGCGACACGTACTAACCGAACATGTCATAATGTACTATACTGAGCCGAGCCGTCAAAAACAATCACATCACGTACAATACCAGAGCAAAACATGAAATAACGTAAGACGACATACCACAACGTGACATGGCATACTTAAGCATAACATAACACACCATGGCAGAATCAATCATATCAGACTATGGCAGCCTCACAGAAAGTATCATAACACGACAGCAACGCATAGCGACACATACTAAGAGAGCAAACCATACTATACTATACTGAACCCGTTGTGAACAGCAGCGCGAAAAAGAGCATATTAAAACATAACCTGACAGACTATGTCATGCGTTAACATAGTGCCACAAGGCAGATCATACCATACCATCTCAAATCATGTGGTGACAGAGATGGGCATAATATAACATACTCAACCTGGATACTATAAGTGAAGAAGAACATCATAACAGACGACGCATCTAATGTCACAAGCGTCACGACGTCATGCTGGCCAGTCGAGAACATAACAAGACATACTATAATATATCATGAACGAACGTGACCGCATGGAGCACGGTTAAACCGTTTTTGCATCCAGGAACGGGCATTGTCGACCAATTCGGCGACCGCGCGCCGTCGGGAACAAACGCCTAAAATTTCGGTGGGGATCTCTCGAAACAACATCGTGTTTGTACCCCAGCATTTTTCCTCGATTTCGGCCTCTGGGGCTCGTTACCGCGCCCCAGGGACATGATGAATGATGCATCCAGGAAGAAGCCGGGCATCAAATCGGAGGATGTCAGGGCATTTCGGACCGGACCGTCTTTCAATGCGGAGAATTTTCCCCGTTTACGGCCTTCGCCTTCTCCGGGAGCGTTCCAGGGATGCTGGAATCGTCCCGGACGTCCTGTCCGAGCTGTGGCCCCGGAACCAGACCTCCGCCGTCGCGCCGTCCTCACGGAACGGATCGAGCCGAGCGTCGGGCCAGGCAGGTTTACGATGCGGACGCTTTTCGCCACTGTTGGCCTCCGAGGGGCCCTCGCCGGGCCCCAGAGGGCCGTCAGAGGGCGGCGCGGGACGAAAATAGGCGGCGAGCCAGGGGGAAATGAGAATGGGCGTGCCTTCTCAGAAGGCTCGGAAGTCCCCTGGACTTATGAGAAGCTTTCTAAGCCTTCCCCGAAGGCAGAAAGCACTTCTCGGAAAGCGCGAGGGCTTCTGCGAAGTCCCGCCGCCTTCTGAGAAGGCCTTCTCCTTCTCAATTTCCCCCTCGCTCGCCGCCGAGAAAAGCCCCTGGCCCCCGGGCGAGGGTCGGGACCTCCAGAGATCCCAGGAAAGCCCACAATCGGATCGATGAGCCGGATCGGCGACCGACACGAGTCGGATCGGCGGAGATCGGCGGGCCAAGTCGGGCGGAGATCGGAGGTCGAATGGGCGGAGATCGGCAGGCCTGGTGAGGCCTCCATGGAAGCAAAAAGAGATCCACATCTCAGTCCGAAGTCAAATCTCGGAATCTGAATCGATCGGCATCGAAACACATCGCGTCGGAGGCATCGAAGTGAGCTGGGAGGCACAGAGACATACAAATACTGTATGCCTTCCTTGGAGGCGCGCGTCCAAGCCGAACATGTAGTATACCCATCTTGTAGTATATCGTTTCCCGAGCGGTGTGGTCAGAAAACGCCAGCCACGACGTATATACTAGAAGATTTCTCGGTGCGCGCGCGCCGCCCCGGGGTGGGCGACGAACATATACTATGAATATGTTGGGGTGACGCCGATGAGCCCCCGGGAAAGGGTCGGAGACTACAGGCCTCCTGGACTTGAGAAAGTCAGTAACCATCGGACCTCTGGGGCCGCGCCGTCGAGGAGGGGTGCGGCAGGGCATCAGGAGGGATCATCGGGTCGGGAGATCGGATCGAACAGAAATGCCTCGGACCGGGCCGCTGGATGCACAACTGCGCCGTGCACCGTGTAACTAAGCATCGGGCCAAAGCAGATCGCCGGGAGATCGAAATCGAATCGGATCGGGCAGGATGGAGTCGATGTCCGCATCGGACCGATTGGATTGAGACATGTCCTGGTGCTCCGCGTCCCCCACGAGCACCTTGCAGGCGACCTATAGGAGGACACCAACGAAACACCGAGTGTAGGATGGCGATTGAGGAACAATCGAAAACCAATTCCTTGCCAATGGGAATCTCAATGACGAAGACAGCGCCATCGAGCAGGCGCTCAACACGGGCCGCCCGGCATTGCTTAACCGTAATCCTACATGACACCCATCGTGGTCAAATCCATCTTGGGTCCAGGATTGCTTCATACGCACTCCTGGCTTGGTCGGGCAGGCGTTCAAATGCACGGATCCTGGGTCCACGATGGTCCTTGCTGGGATCAATGTAGGTGCTTGGTTGGCGTCGCCCGCACTAGAAGGTGGGAAACGTATCCAGGTCCATATCCACGGCCTGAGTTCCTCGGCCGCTACCCCATGTGCGGGCAATACTTCTGCCCATACTAACTGCAGCTTGGAGCGTCGGGCTCCCTTCCCTAGGAACCCGAGGCGCACGGCTGGCCCTTCCACGCCCCCCGCGGCAGCGCACGCCGCGGAACCATCCACTGGGTGCCCTTGTATGTTTTTGTGTTGCCGACCGGCGCCTGTGACCCCCAATAATACGGACGCATTGGTTTTCTCGACAAGGGTTCCCCGGAAGTCCTGACCCTTTCCCCGGGGTCAGGCTCTTCATCCCGAGTTGATTTCTGACGGCCCATGAGGCCTGGCGAGAGCCCCCAGAGGCAGAAACAAATGAAAAACGTCCGCCTTGCTTTCTTCAAGTGGGTGGCGACATCGGAATCCTACTCCCACCAACCATCGAGGGAGGCGGGGGTTGGGTTCGGATTTCGCCACGTGTTCGACATATTCCGAATCCTGCCCCTGTCGCCCATCGAGTTGCCTGAAACCTTGATCGGCGAGGGCAAGGTTCGGAATTCTCCGCCGACCAATACTTTGGAGGTCTGGTCTTCAGACCTTTCATTCCTGGGCTTCCAATCCCAGTATCCCCAGGATGCTCTCCGCTCTCGCCGAGGTTGCCAGCAAATATCCAAAGGGGAGGAGAACACTTCAAGCAGCCAGCGAAAACCGTCAAAACCTGGATAACCAGACTTGTTCAATGTGCTGAAGCTCTGGGACAGGGCAGGAGCGGTCAACATCCAATCGATACATCGGATGGGAACCTACATCGAATCGAACCGCATCGGCATGGAAGCGCAATCGAATCCAATCGGCCACGCCGGGATCCACAACGACGCCATGAAACCATCTGTGAACATCAGATCGTCGAAATTCCGGAATCGAATCAGATCGAGCAGGCGGAAACCGATATCGAATCGGACCGATCGGATCGAAATGAACTCTGCAAGGCCTCGTGAAGCCAGGGCGCCGAGGGGTACTGCTCAAGCAATCCGAGCAGCGCATGCAGGCCCGAGAAGAATGACACCGCGGCCACGAGCTGCTCTAGCGCGTCGTGCGTGAGCTTCCAATCCGCCAACGCGCCCTTGGGGGCACGATGTGGTGTACGCTGCCCAGACCTCAAAATCATGTAAACATTCAATACGAGGAGAAGATATTCTTGGGTTCTCGTGGCTTGCTTCGAGATCAGCAAGTACCCTGAAATCGGAGCACTCATGGCCGTCGTTGCATCGTTGTTCCGCAGCAGAGCCGCTGGAACTGTACCATGGCGGCTTGTTTGACCATCTTGCCAGTGCACCTCTGACGTGCACGGCGCTCTCTCTCTCTCCCTCTCTCGGGCGTTCGCGCACAGGGGGGCACTGCACAGAGGGAGCAGACACTTGCGCTTTTCGTGCACCTTTCGGGCCGGCGGCTGCAGTCCACCTTCCTGCGGTCCTCGCCATCCCCCCATTGACTGCCCGATTGCCAAGAGGCCGTTGGAGGCTTCCTCGCCCCGAGATGCACGCCAGCAGCTGCGCCTCGCCGAGAGCGTTCCGGGGGTGCCCGGCACACCCGGGACGGCCGCGGGAGGCCTGAGGGTGTCGTGGTCCGAAAGCCAGATCTCCCACGTGTGGAAAGTTCAGTGCGGAAATTTGTTTGCCGTTGGCGCTCTCTGTGGCATTCGCCGGACCCCCGAGGCTGTCAGAAAACGACTCGGGACGCCAATGCTGGCCCTGGAGGGAAGGATGGGACCACCAGGGACCCCGCACTGAAAAAGCCAACACATCGGATCTCCACGGCCGCGCAGTCGAGGCACGGCGTGGCAAGATCACTAACATAGCATCTGGAAATCGGATCGGACCGGGATGCGCGTCGGATTGGGTCGCATCGACGCGGGGTCCAAATCGAATCGCGTCTGGATTCGGATGCACAGCAACGCCATGCAAACATCGGGTCGCCTCGGATCGTCGGAGAATCGGGATCGAATCGGATCGAGCCAGCTAGAGCCAATGTCAAATCGGATCGTTCGGAAAGGAATGGCCTCTGTGGCGGGAAGAGGACCATACATTTTTCATACCTGTACGACCACCCTTCGGGTGATAAGGAGGTTGTGTGGGGGCATCTGACTCAATCGATCTCACTATCGATCTCACTCAACGGGACACCACGGGACACCACGGGACACCCGTCGATCTCACTATCGATCTCACTTTTTGGGAAACTACGGGACACCATGGGACACCTCAGGGCACCACATCGATCTCAGTATCGATCTCAATATCGATCTCACTATCGATCTCACTCAACGGGACATCACGGGACACCACGGGACACTTGTCGATCTCACGGTCGATCTCACTATCGATTTCACTCAACGGGACACTACGGGACATCACGGGACACAAGACACCGCGGGACACCACGGGACACCACGGGACACCGCGGGACACCGCGAGCCACCGCCCGACGGACGGATGGACGGGGGAGAATAATTTGTCTTGACTTCGCCCTTGCAACCGCGGACACCACGGGACACCACGAGACACCACGGGACACCGCGGGACACCGCTAGGGCCACCGCCGGACGGACGGACGGACGGACGGACGGGGGAGAATCATTTGTCTTGACTTCGCCCTAGCAACGGCGGGTTCATCCCTCTCGCGCGCCCACGCAGCTTCGCCTCGCACGCACGCACGACACGAACGAAACGAAACGATTTCCCGGTTGGGGGTCTCCGCTCCACTGCGATCTCACCCACCAACCTCCGACCAGGAGCGGTGCCCCTTTGAGGCCATAGTTGCGCCTGAACGCGCGAGGCACTCCAGGGGAAGACCCACCGACAAACAACCTTACATCACATCGAGCTCTTTTCGAAACCCACGTGGGCTTTATTCCGAAGTTGTGACTGTTCTCTTTCCTTGAGCTGGCACCATTCCGACGGGCGCGGACTGCGGTCCACTGGATTTACCAACCTTGCATCGAACGCCTCGCAAACACGCATGGACTCACCTCCATTACCGGGGTTCACCAACCTTCGCTCACCCGGAAAAAAAACCTCACCCTCCCGAGATTATACTCGGAGGCAACTTTACCGCATGGCCCAAAAAGTCCTCACGCTATACGAATGTAACCCAAGCGTGTTTCCAAACCGCCGAGAGGGGCCCAAATTTGGCTCACGAGAATATGTAACCCCAAAAAGCCGGAATCGTAGAGCGACTGATTGCCTTTGATCATGATGCTCGTGTTCCGACCTGCTCTGCCTCGGATGTGTCGGAAAGGACCCACGATTGCCCCAGCATGGCCCCGAAAGGGCCCCACGCAGGGCGGAGAAGAAATCCAAGTGAAGCCCGATATGACGCTTCAGAGGCCCCAGGAGGAGGTCCACGAGCTCACCGCATGCACACAAACTGTGAACCAGCCTCTCCCCCCAAGAATGACATATTCTCCAATGCAGTCAGGCAGGGTCCTAACCCCCTGGCGGAGGAGGGGCAGCAAACCTTCATTCCTTCCTCCAACTCCTCCTCGTCCTCCTCCGCCTCGTCCTCCTCCTCTTCCTCCCCCTCCCTCCTCCTCCCTCCCTTCCCCCTCCTCCCTCCCTCCCTCCCTGCCTCCTCCCTCCTCCCCCCTCCATCCTCCGGCCGACCGGCCGGCCGCCCCCGGCGCACTTTTCAGTTCGGTGAGCAGCAAGCTCGCGCGCGCAATGCGCACGGGTGAAACACAATTGCGTCGCAGTTCTGAATGTGGGCCAATGTAACTCGCGGCACTTTTGGCACCGGCGCTGGCCGCAACTTTTTCAGAAATAACAGAACGGAGGTCATCCATTGATTGCTTGAAATCTGCCATGAACGAGCGAAAGGCAGATGTCCGCCGGCCTCCGCTTGCGAGGGGCAGCAATGCTTCTGAGGCAGAGCGTTCAAATTTGGGCCCGCACCCCGCGGCAAACGTCCGGAAGGCGCTTGGCGGCAGCAGGGGCTCGTCCTCCTCATCTTCCTCCTTCTCCTCCTCCTCATCCTCCTCCTTCTCCTCCTCCTCCTCCTCATCCTCTTTCTCCTCCTCCCTCACACCCTCGTGCCAGCTGCAGATGGAAGATGCAGCCGTCGCCCCACTCCCTGCCGCAGGGTCGGGAGTGCCAGAAGGCGCGGAAACGGCAGGAGCAGGACGAGCATGAGGAGGCCGGGAGGGCGGCGAGCATGTAGAGATGGAGGGGCAAACGAGGTCGGGGGTTCATAATAAGCGAATGTGGCAGTGCAGCGCGGGCCGCGCGTCGCCCCCCCACCCGTCGGAGCGGCAGCTGGCAGGAGAGGGGGGAGGAGGAGCGGAAGGAGGAAGAAGGGGAGGAGGAGGGGGGGGGAGGAGGGAAGGGGGATGATGAGGAGGAGGAGGGGGATGATGATGAAGAGGAGGAGGAGGAGGGGGAGGAGGACGAGGCCATCACCGACGGCGGCCCCCCCCCCCGCCGAGGGAGGATGACCCCCGGTCTCCGCGAGGGTGGCCATCTTCGGGCCCCTCAGGTGGCCCACGTACTGCTACCAGCACCAAAATCGACTGCCGTCCTCCCCTGGCGGAGCGGCACCCCATGTTTTCCATACCTCGGACGTCTTGATTTGTCCCATACGCGGTCAGCGCAAGTCCCGCCAGCTCCCCCGGGACATGTTGTTTTTTTTGTTCATCCGGGGCGTTCCGAATTTCGTAATAACGTGGGGGGTCAGCGTGGGGGGTGCCCCCCCGCCAGGGGTCAACCTCGCTACCTCGGTGCGCCGCGCCGGGAGGCGCGGCACCTTCGGCGCGCGGCGTTTTGCCGCGACGGGGGTCGGTTCGGGAAGGTCGGCGGGGTCGGCGCCCCCCCACGCTCATTAAGAAACTCAGAATACTGCCTGCTGGTCCCGGGGCCCCGAAACGTTCTCCAGACGCCGGAAGATGCGAAACCCTTGCGTGCTGATTCGTTCAAGACGCTGGAAGTCCGGGCTGGTGCCTGTGCCAACTTTTGCCCCCCCGATCTCGGCCCCTCCGCGCGAGCCCCCGCAGCCTACAATTGCGCTGCATAGGCGGCGGCCCTGGCGGGCACCCACTCCGAGGGCCCGCGTTCCGCACTGCCGGCGCACGACCCATGGGAGAAGCCACGCGCATAGGAACGAGGAAAACCGACACCAACACCACCAGGGAGCAGCAGCTTGACCAGCCAGGGGGGGCCTCCCTGGTGGTGTGGTCCACCCTCTCGCTCGAGACATCCCCAATCCCCAGCGCAGGGAGGCATCGTGGACCTCCCCTCTGGAGGAGGCCTCCGCAGTGGCGTCGGTGTCGCTCCCCCTTCCCCCGACGCTTATGAGCCAACAAGAGACAAGGCACACCATACCTACGCCCGTCTCCGTGAGGCTGGCCGCCCGAGTTCGGGACGGGGTCGATGTACACGACTCACCTGAGCACGGGGCAGGGAGGAGGGGCTGCTGGGGAGAGGGAGGACGGGTGATCTGAAAAAAATGCTGTTCAGACTCTGGGGCGCCCCCAGACTCTGGGGGTTGGGGGTTGCTCCGACTTTGTCTCTCGTTGTCCGACTGTGTCTCCTCGCTCATACCCCCTGCCTCCTTCTCCTGGTCCTCCTCCCTGTTTCTCTTCCTACTCCCTCTTCGCCTGCTTTTCCCAGTCCTTTTCTTCCTATTCCTCCTTTCCTCCTCCTCCTCCTCCTCAACCTCCTCCTCCTCCTCCTCCTCCTCGCCCCCAGTGCGCCCAGGAGGCTTTCAAGATGGCCCCATGACGGCCCAGGAGGCCCCAAAGACGGCCCCAAGAGGCCTCTAAGACGCCCAATATGGCCTCCAAGACGGCCCTGAAGCGCCTCAAGAGGACCCCACATCGGTTCAGAGAGGCCCCCAAGACGGCTTCCGACGGCGTCAGACCCGTCAGACGGGCTAGGAACGATTTAAGACTGCCAAGGAGAGGCCCCCAAGACGCCCCCACGGCCCCCAAGAGGCCCGTAGGCGTCTTGGATCCGCCGCCCCCTGTGCTTGCCACAGGGTTGGACGGCGTGCCAGACATTTTGCTGAGATTCTGATTTTCAAACCCTTCCCAGTGGCCTTCGGCCCAGACCGCCTGCCCCTCGGAAGGACCAGAAGGTGTGGCCCACATCGCCACCAAGACGGCCCAAACGGCCCAATCTGGTCACCAAGATGCCTCCCAAGGCGGCTAGGATCGCTCCAAGAGAGCCCAAGACGGCTCCAATATGTCTCCAAGACGGCCCAAAATGTACCCGAGGCGTCCAAGATGGCCCCAAGATGGCCCAGGACGGCCCCAAAGGCCCCCAAGAGGCTTTTAATGCAGTCCAAGAAGCCTCCAAAGGGATCTGCAGGAAGGCCCGAAGAGGCCAAGACAGCTGATTTCCCGTGGGCTCTTGATGGATTTTGACGTTTTCGGCCTGCCGACGGCCCAATGCCGCCGAAGAGACCCCCAAGATGGCCCCAAGAGCGCCCAAGAGGCCTCCAAGACGGCCCCATGACGGCCTCCAGACGGTCCAAGAGGCCCCCAAGGCGCCTCCAAGACGGCCCACGAGAATTCCAAGGCGCCCACGATGGCCTTCAAGACGGCTCCAAAACGTCCAAGATGGCAACGATACGATTCGACATAGCCCCAGGATGTCCCAAGACAGCCACAGAGGGCCCCAAGGGCCCCAAGGGGATCCAAGGGGCCTCCTAGACAGTCTAGGAAGTCTTCAAGAGGACCTCCAGGAGAGCCCGAAATGCCCAAATGGTTGTATTTATTCCCTTCAATTGTTGAATAATTTGGGCGCGTTTTCTTTTTCGGCTGTCCGACGGCCCAAGATGTCCACAAGATGGTCCCAAGACGGCCCAAGCTGACTTCAAGATGGCCCCAAAAGGGCCCCAAAGGGCGAGGAAACAGTCCAAGAGGAAGAGCAAGAGGAAAGGACGGAATCAGAGGCCCGAAGCGGCTCCGAGAAGCCTGCAGCTCAGCGCGGGCTCGTCTGCGGACGCCCTTGCCCCCCCCAGGAAAAACATATCACCCCGAGGCCCGGTGATGTTTTGTGGGGCCGCCATCTCAAAGCCCCACGGCCAGATTTTGGGTCGAGGAGGAGGAGGGGCAGGAGGACGAGGAGGTGATCAACAGGAACCAGAGGAGCAGGAGCAGCAGGAGGACGAGGAGTTTGAGCAAGGGGTCAAGGACGGAATGATAGGCCAGAAGCGGCTCCGAGACCAGACCGCGCTGAGCTGCAGGGTTTTCGGAGCCGCTTAAGGCCTCTCATTTCGTCCTTGTCCCCCTGCTCAACCTCCTCGTCCTCCTGCTCCTGATTCTCCTGGTTTTGCTCCTCTTCTTCCTCGACCCAAGAGCCGGCCGTGGGGCCTTGAAAGGGCGGGCCGAAAAAATGTCACCGGGGGCCGAGCTGCAGGCTTCTCGGAGCCGATGCGGCCAAAAAGAGGCTGCCCTGCAGGCTGTCTCGGAGCCGCTGCGCCAAAAGAAGGACACCTTGTCGGTTTAACTACTAGGTCGCTTTGTCGGCTGATTTCGGGCGCGTCGTCATCGTGGTCGTCGTTGTCATCGTCGTCGTCGTGGTCGTCGTCGTCACCACCATCGTCGTGTCGTCGTCGTCGTCGTCGTCGTCGTCGTCGTCGTCATCGTCGTCGTCGTCGTTGTCGTCGCCGTCCATAAGATGGCCCCGAGAGGGCCCTAAGAGGGCCCCAAGAGGCCCCCTCCGAGAGGGCCCCAAGAGGGCCCCAAGAGTTGTGCAACAACCCAGCGGCCCCACTCCTGGGGCCCTCTTGGGGCCCTCTGAGGGCCCTCTTGGAGCCCTCCTGGGCCCCAAGAGGGCTCCAAGAGGGCCCCAAGAGGGCGCCAAGAGGGCCCCAAGAAGGCCCCAGGAATTATGTACCAATCCAGCGGCCGCTGGTACATAACTCCTGAACCCTCTTGGGACCCTCTGAGGGCCCTCTCGGAGCCCTCTCGGACCCCTGGTTGGCCCTGTAGGGCCCCAAGAGGGCCCCAAGAGGGCCCCAAGAGGGCCCCAAGGCCCCAAGAGGGCCCCAAGAGGGCCAAGAGGGCTCCAAGAAGGCCCCAGGAATTATGTACCAACCCAGCGGCCGGTGGTACAGAACTCCTGGGGCCCCTCATCCCCTCCTCCCTCCCCTCCCCCTCCTCTCCTCTCCTCCTCCTTCCTCCTCCTACTCCTCCTCCTCCTCCTCCCTCCTCTCCTCCTTCCCCCCCCCCCCCCCTGCTCCTCCTCCTCCTCTCTCTCCACCCCCCCCTCCTCCTCATCTGAAAAAAGTGCTGTTCAGACTCTGGGGCGCCCCCAGACTCT